GAATGGATCATTAGTCAAACTATGTTCCTCTTTTAACGCACAAACGTATGGAACAAGACAATCATAATAATACTGTTATACTGGAGCTAATACGATTATCATTAAGTGATATAAGTCATAACCATATGATTCCTTATATGATAGTGTCACGTTTCCTATAAGGTGTCATGCTTTTTAGCCCTTTTGAAGCTGAACAACACATAGATAATTGTTTGAATATATTAATCAAGTGATCAGTCTTTGCGCATTATTTTACAAGAGGCTAGTGTAGTGTAAGTTTAGAGTGTAGGAAATAGTTTCAAGTTCCCTTCATATTATGTGACTAAATACATGTTATAAACTATGTGGCACAAAGGAGTGAAAATAATCACAGAAAATAGAACCTGGGGTAGATAGGGATTTCAAGTTTCAACGTAGATGCCAAAATACTGTAACTTACACGCACGTAAACAGGGAGAGAGTCGAGGGGGTTCGGCCGAGCCCCATATTTTTGTGATGCAAAAATATGTTTATATAGTTATAACGCAGCTAATTATGATATTTAACGTTTTTTTTTACATAGTCTACATTCTTCAGATGAAACATTAGCATTTTTTTGTTGACTGTGCTTCGAACAATATGTGTTGACTTTTGACCTCACAAATTAAAACTCCACTTTCAAACATTCTGCATACGGACCTGACTTAGTACCAAGACAACTTTTCTAATGCAGAAAAAAAAAATAGATAACAAACCATATAATATGTAAAATATCGTAAAGGTAGTAATCAATAAATAATAATTGGAGAGTCAGTAACAGGAATTATTGTTTTATATTTTACAACTTAAACTATCCATGAAAGTTCCACAGTTTCGGTTTTGTTTAAATTATTTCTAAAGGATTTTTTTGGACAATATCAACATTTAATAATATCTGATCTATTATTTAAACCCACTTTATCAGTTCCATAATTCATATTTCAGTTATATTTTATGTCTGAAAAATTACTTAAAGTGTCCAGTAACCTGCATTTTAATTAGAATATACATTTGAGAGATAACTCCTCAGTAACAGTTTCAGCATTTCACGTCCATATTGTCTTCGATATATACGTGTTAAGAATTTTTCCCGTGAACTTGTATGAAAAGTAAATTAATGTAGGCATGTAATAATCTCTCCTTCAATTTCCTATACACGTACATTTCTATACACAGGGAGCACTGCACATTTGCCTCTATGCGATCGCATTCATTAAAAGCTAAAATACAATATTTTGTAGACGTGATAATAACGTGTCTTCCCATCTTGTCGAAGATCATTTTGTAGCTTAGTTTATTCAAGCAAAAAGTAGCATTAGTTGCTATAATATTTTTGTTATATCTTTATACTTTACTTCATTTATCCATCATGATAATCAAGCGAAGACATTATTTGTCCATAGCTTCGTGTGATATTAACGTCGTTTTTAAAATACAGTATTACGTTACTAAGCCTAATCTTTCTAATAAAATGTCTTATACTAAACTAACTCTGACATATGAACAGTTTATCTTTATAAGTCAATGATTATTTTTGTCAGAAATGCGGCACATAACACAAAAGTTAACAAAGCACAAACAAAAATGCAAATCAAGAACGAACTAGCAACAGACGGCGTACCGTGTCCTTAAGATGTACGTATATGAAAACGTTGTTACTGTTGTTTTCTTGGTGCAAAAATTTATCTGCACTTTGTCCACCGCGGGGAATCGAACCTCAAATTTTAGCTTACCGTTTAGCTATTGAGGGACCGTATGAATATAAGTTTATGTAACATGTTCTGGAATATCCCTCCCGATTCAGTTCTTGCCAAAGAACACACCTACGGTTTTAAATCTCATGTAATTTAATAAGTTTATGTAACATGTTCTGGAATATCCCTCCCGATTCAATTCTTGCCAAAGAACACACCTACGGTTTTAAATCTCATGTAATTTAATAAGTTTATGTAACATGTTCTGGAATATCCCTCCCGATTCAGTTCTTGCCAAAGAACACACCTACGCTTTTAAATCTCATGTAATTTATGCATTACTTTAATAACTTTTTCATCATAAGCCAATCACTATCTCGGTCTTCAGGATTTGCTTATTGGCTGATGATTCATTTAAAGATTTTCATGTCCTTGTTTTCTTCTTATTGGGTGTTTATAGGTTGTACAACCACCGAGATAATGAACAACCAAGAAACAGTCTACAACAATAATTATCACCATGAAATGTAGAAGTTAAATAAAACGAATTTAAACAGTTGAAGAAATCACCAAAAATTAGCCTCGCAAGAACTTTACGACAGATATACTGAACCCAAAATAATCGTTATATTAACACAAACATCTCGGGAAGAAATAAAGATTCCCTACAATCTTACTGTTATGCTCAGAAGATAGCGCCACATGTAGAGGATGCTAAGAGGTATTGACAGTTCATTACCTTTATGCTTGTATTCAAGAAAACAAATTCTAAGCTCCACTATAATGAGTTCTTCCC